GGAAGCAACGCGACGCCTCCGAAAAAGTCCTCTCCCAAACGATCGACTATCGCCCGCCGGTCGATACCCACAACGAGAAATCAAAGTCCATCGCGTAAGTTGATCGGCTTTTCTAGTGACGAGGAAGACGCAGGACCAATTCATTCAAGTAGTTTAGTTGATGATAGCTGGGCTAGGCGTGGAGAAGAAACGTCGTTTAGTAACGTTTCCCAGAGACGCAGCCGGTCGAGGTCGATTACTCCATCAAGGAGGAACAATTTGAAGTCGCGCGTAACGACCGTCATCGATCAGGGTAGCATTGCTGTGAACACGTTAGATTCCACGGATGGTATTGATGGAGAATTTTCAGATTCCGATGCGCAAAGCTATCAAAGACCAGGAGGTCGAGTTTTTGGTTCAATTGACTATTCCCGTCCACCCGTCTCGACAAAACGCGGAAGATCTCAAGACGAAAGTGAAGGATTAGAAACTACGCTTTCATCCACTAATGGCAGCAACAAACATTTCTCTACTGCCGAATCTAAACTAAGCTCTTCACTTCAAGAGAGACATACTGGAGCCAAACATGCGAAGAATAGCTCCTCTTGGTCATCAATTGCTAAGATCTTACTCGCATTAAGTGCTATTTGTATTCCTCTTTTGTTGTATGCGACCTTCAAGGGCCACTCAAGCGAACAAATGATCTTTGCAGACTTAGGTGAGAATATCGTCGTAATATCGCCTTTTCGGTTTTGTTTTATCATCTGATCAGCCAATCGTATCTTGTGCATTCAAGTATTTTAGCTAGTTATCTACCACTCGTTAGAGATAAATGTATTTCATTTCGAAGTGTACACACTTCTTAATCGTTGAAAAAATGATGCTCCAATTTTAGACCTTTTGCTCTATTGTGGTTTTTATTTATTAATTAGTTTAGTCACTGTTTTTTGTGATAAGACTTCCTGACTTCATTTCTTTTCCTTTGTAAAACTCACAGTTTGCCAAGGGAAAAATCCACTGGATGAATTTGGGAATAAACCCAAGGTAACAATGATTATATGATATACAAAATGATAATTGCTCGTGAGTTTGACCTCTTATTGACTTGTTAATCAATAAAGCATAATGTATTTGTCACTGCAGCTATTTTTACCTCAATGTTACCTACATTTGAATGTTGACAACATAATTTCTCAGTGGAATTCAAACTTAATTGAAGTGTTCAACTGCACATTTAGTTATTAATTAATAGTCTCCATTATTTTAGGTAGGTCCCCAAGGGTGCACATAATTAAATGATTATTTTGTTTGTGAAGTTTTAATGACTGGTGTGATGTGTTAAATATCTTGTCTGGCTTTTGAGGTAAAAGAAAAAAAATCATTATTTCAAACAGACTCTGTGTCCAGTGTTTGTGATAAATGACAACATCTCTTTTTGGTTGATGAAAAAGCTCATAATTACCTTCCTTTTTAACCTTTTAACTCTGAAGATCTGATTAATGTTTCTCTCAGCTAGCCGCTACATATTTCCTTATAAATTAGTGATGAGAATTTGGTGTAAGGTGAAGAAAACAACTATCACTTGATAAATTTGAATGTTCTTGTAACCTGTTTACTGGATAGTGTAATGAATGTTGTGGAGAGAAGTTCCATGTTAATCACTTTTGAGAGTTAAAGGTAAAGCTGGTTATACTCTTAGTTTATGTTTTTAATTTTCATTATTCACTCCTATTTCATGTAATTGCTTTATAGCATCCTGATTGTATAACATTAGCCAATATCAGAAAGGGATATGTAGACTTTCTGTACAAAAGACTTATTATCAAAGCAGGTGAGAGAACTAAAGATATTTTAGAGATGAGTGATAGGTAAGCTGTAGTTGCTGCTAGCAAGCTGGGCTCTGTGTTAGAGGTTTTAAGGCTCAAGTTGTGCTCAGGGTGACTATGTTTTGTTTTTAGGTTAATTACTTAAGGCTCTAGGTTCTCTTTTTACCCAAGAGTACGAATGGGTTCCAAAATCTTGGAAGGGAAACTTAAAGGAAGTTCTGGAGATTGCCTATATCAGAGAAGAATAAAATTTTATATGCTATATGCTATCTAACACATAATTCCTTATCCAGTGGAGACATGTTAAAAAAAAGGTTCTGGGGTATCCACTAGATAGAATTTCAGGCAGTAAGTAGCATTATCCACCCTTGGAATAACCATGGCAAGGAGAGTATAGTACAGTATTCCAGTGCTCCAGGGAGTATATTCCAGTATTCTGGTGCTCCAGGGAGTACACTCCAGTAAAGCCTTCCATGTAACTAGAAAAACTGTTGATTTTATTTCAGGAAAGTCAATTGTAGGAAAGTTTTAAATAGTATTTTATTTTTCCTTTTAGGTTTATTTGAATGTGGAGATCCAAGGGTGAAGAGTAGAAATATCTCTTTGGGAGAGTTACAAAAACAAATAAAACAGGATAATGTAAGTAAATATCAATTTTTACAAGATATTTTTGCCAAGTCATTAGACTGGTAGTTAATATTTTTTATGTGAGGCAATAAATAGATGTGTTGATAATCAAAATTTTTCACATTATTCAAGGAATTTCCTCTACCACAGTTGAAAGAACAGTT